ACAGCAAGAAAGCAGTTTCACAAACGGAACTGGTGTCATGATTAATTTGAAACACAAAATAGACAGAAAGTTTTCAGAAACATATCCTAAATTATCTCTCTTGAGCGGAAAATTTTGATTTAAACAAAGAAAGTGAAGCTCATTTTTATCATTATTATTGTTATTTTAACATTCACAACTCTTTACATAAAAAAATGAGAAAGTTGCAACATTGTTTTTGATGGGAGATAAGAAAATCGAGACAAAAGAGTAATGGATTATCGTGTTAGTATTGCTCGAGGATTTAACACACACTCAGATAAAAGAAAACAACCGGTAGAGACACTAGAAGTTTGTACGTGAAAAAGTTAGAAAGGGAAAAAGCCATAGGGTCTAGCCTAGTTGTAAAAATTCACTATAAGTTAATGATTATAAAGACTTTTTGTCCCAAAAGCGGGAAAATGTAACAAAGTCATAAAAATTACAAAGTTAATGTGCGAACGATCTCGTCGATGACAAGAGGAGAAGACTGATGATGATTGGCGAGGGCATACAAGCGGTGTTCGATAGTGGTCATCGGTGGTCGACGGTAGCAAGAGTGATGTGAACTTCAGCTCATTCTCAAAGCTTAAAGCTCTTCTTTGGGCATCAAGTCCCTCCCTCTTTTTTTATAAGAGCGGTGTAGTTTTATTTATAGAGTTCTAGGTGCAATCAACGCAAAAATATGAATCACTTTGATCGAACGGACCAAAAATATTATTTTGATCAGACGATATTTCATGGATATTTGAGTACCCTAATGATGTAGAATTGAGTGATTTTGGACTCGTTGAATTCGTCTTGTCGAGACGCTCGATTATACTATAAGTTCATCAGATCGACATCCGTTTGACCTTCCAAATATACCCAAAAAGCTTCCAAAAAAGGTTGAATGCCTTGAGCAGGGTTTGATTTGACTCAGATTGGACCAATTTTGATATTATTGGGTTCGTTTTGTTGGGTCAGTCAGTTTGACTATAAGTTTACTGAAATCGAAGCTCTGGATGACTCTTAATGAAAGTTCGAACATTTTTTGCTTCAAAATTTATATCAAATTCTGTACCATACATTCAGATACATGCTAGATGTTGAAAATTTATTGATAACATATCAATTTCCATTATGGCTGTTAAGGATTAATCTTCCAATTGTTATCATTATTTTCTATTAGTAAAAAATTCTAGCAATCATTTTAAGGAAAATTTACATACTTTTCACATAATTCTTATGTATTTACAAATCTAACACCCAAAATTTGTCTTATGTCATAAATTTGATATGATATCTAAGATTCGAGTGACATGTATGTAAATATGAATATCAAGGTGTTATATATGTAAATATATAGAAATTGTGTGGTATGTACGTAAGACTAAATTTGAATTTTAATAAATAGAAAGATTTACATAACTAAACTTCAATTTTTACATATATACCGCTTTGCCTATGCATGAAAATATGCATAGTATTTCTTAAAAATTAAAATAATAATATATTTTATATGATATTAAAGATTTGTGTGGTATAAATGTAAAAAAAAAGCAAAATTTAGGTGTTAGATATGTAAAACACATAGAAATTGGTGATATTCATGAAAATGGCCTTAATAAATATTACATTTGTTATAACCATTGTAAATTTATAGATAAAATTGTGATAGTTGTAACAAATTCAAATTAATAGATATAATTGTAATGGCTATTAATTGTTAATGTTTTTTTTATTAGTTACAATTGATATAAATTAAATAATGATTAAACCATCCCGGGGTGGACAGTACCTAAATTTTGATTCCCTCAACTAACTCTTGGGTTGAATGTGAGTCCCTGAGCTTTCCTTCCCAATATAGCTCGTCACCTCTTAGGTTGGATGTGAGTCGCTGAGATTTCCTTCCTAATGTGACACATTCTCGAGATCGATGTGAGACCCCCTTAAATGGAGTAAGGCTTCTGATTCTCATTTTGGGGCTGATACCTAAATTTCAGTTCTCATCCCGGGGGTCAGTTCCTAAATTATAATTAATTTGAATTTACATAAATACCACACAACTCTTATGAATTTACATATCCAACACTTATAACACTCGATCTTTTCATAACACATCAAAAATACAATCTTCGATAACTTTCAAAAAGCGTAATATTAATTTTCATGCATGGATAGAGTGATATGAATGCAAATATCAAAGTTTAAGGGTTGGATATGTAAATGCATGGGAATTTTGGTACGTGTTTGTAAAATCTTCCTTTCATTAAATGTTTATTATTTTGTGATTATGATGATTGATCAATATGTAGGGATTCATGTGATGTCTGGCAGAGGCTGTGGACCGTCGGCTGTGTTGGTGGACGGCTGGCGGCTGCAGCAGATCGACAGTAGCGGGGACTAACGATAACAATGGAAGAGAAGGGGTCTTGTCTCGAGCATTTTACGGTATAACTCAAATTCGATCAAATCTATCGAATTTCAAATTCAGTCAAAACGAACTAAAATATGAACTTTAAATTCATTTATATTTTTAAAAAGTGCTTTGAACCTTTGGGTAGTTAAAAACATATCATAAATAAGGATTAAAAATAATTATTTGAAATACTTGAAGGTCATGCAAATAGAATATTTGCATACATATCACTTATTTTTTATGTATTTATATAGTTAACCCCTAAACTTTAATTTTTTTCAATTTCACCTACAAAATAAAATGATGATATTTTTGATGAATTATAAAAGTAATTTTAAATTATTTAGATGCTCTTTGGGATCATTTTTATTTTATTTTCATTTTATTTTATTTATATTTTGATTTAAAATAAAATATGTAAAATTAAGATATAGTTATTTTTAAAACAAAAATAATTAAAAGTTGTATTGAATGCTTTTTAATAATTTCTTTTTAAAAATGAAGCAAAATAAAAAAAAAATTATGAAGTAATTATATTAACTAAATAAATGTAGTTAAAGTTTATATGATAAAAATTATAAAACTGTTAAAAAATATATTAATTATTATATTCATTTACATCTTGAAATAAAATATATAAATCTATTATAATTATAAAAGAGGATTTTTATATTATTTTTATTAAAAGAACAGTTGGAATTTTTTATTGATGAATTAATTAATAATATAGATAAATATATTGATTTTAAAAGGATCACTGACTATGAAGCATATATACTGGCATGAGGACTCAGACACAACACGATATGATACGGGGATATGATATAATTAAAAAAATAGAACATGACACATCATAAACACGTTTTTATACTTAATTAAATACTAACATAATATATATATATATTTTTTATAATTTTTTATTAAAAAACAACACAACACAAATTATACAAGAATAACAATTAATGTTATAAATTTAATTTATATTATAAAACCTCATGTTTATGAAAATCAAATTTCAAAATTAGATATGACGTATTTCAAAAGAATTCATTCAACTTATCCACTAAAATTTAAAAAAGTCATGTAATTACAAAGATGAAATTTCTATTGATAGGCTTTAACAAATATTTGATGTACCTTTGATGTTTGATTTTGACGAATGTTAAAAGGAGCTTCAACATAACGAGAGATAGGACGGTTGTGACTATGAGGTATAATTAAGGCTATACATATATTTATTTATTTTTAATTTTTGTGACCCATTTTCTTGAAAACATGTTAAGCTCACGTTCGATACAGCTTGAGGTGTGACCCGAATGTGTTCGAGCCTGAAGAAATTCAAACATCTATTCTTCAGTGTCGAAGAAGTATTGGGGCGTGTCAGAGAAGTGCCGGTTTTCGATACGCATCCAACACCGGTACGGCACATTTTATAAGTGTCCGTGCAACATCGACTACTAAATATTCACGTAATTTGTATTTAAAAAATTAAAAAAATACAATAATTACATAAATAAAAAAACATTACAAGAAAGATGTATATTAGGATCTGTTAAATATATATGTAATATCTAAAAATTCAGTGATTTGAATGTTAAAATTTAAGTTTTGGTGTTCGATGTGTCATGCATGAAAATCGAACATAATGCACGTAAAAATTGAAGTTTCGATGTTAGATATGAAATACATAAAAAATGAGTGAAATATATGTAAAAAAATGAAAGTCTAGGTGTTTGATATGTAATACATAAGAAATGTGTGGTTGGTATGTAAAAATTGAAGTTTATGTGTTAGATATGTAATACATAATAATTCAATGGAATGTATGTAAAAATTGAAGTTCAATTGTTAGACATGCAATACATAAGAATTGAGAGGAATGTAGGTAAAAGTTGAAGTTTCCATTTTAGATATATAATACATGAGAATTGGTGGAATGTATGCCAAAATTGAAGTTTAAGGGTTACATATGTAATATATAAGAATTTAGTGGAATATATATAAAAATTGAATTTTAGGTGTTAGACATGTGTTACATCCGAATTGTTTAGTTTTTGGGTCTGTGTGGGGTAGGTGCATCTTATTTAATAATCTGCTGATAAGCTGATTAAAAATAATTGATAAACTAGGTACGGTAGCTATTATAAATTTTATTCTTTTAGAAAAGTCAGATTGCAACAAGAAAGCTGCCACGACACCCAGATAGATGCGGTGTGAAAACATTATTTTCAGCGTTTTAAAAAAGCATGAGCTGCCAAAACGCAGTTTATCCGAACAGATCTGATATGTTTTCAGAACAATATCGCACCAAATAAGCTCCCCAAACGAGACTTTTATGTTTAAAATAAGAGTATTAGAGTAAGATAAATGTATGTATGACTGATATTTAAATGTACTAATTTTTAATTATATATAATATGTCGATGAATATTAAAAATTTGAGATCATAAATGTATATTAGATTGAGTTAAGAAAGGATAAACAGTTGATGAGTTTTTGATGATAAAATAAAAATAATTATTAAAATGATATATAAATAAATACAAGAAGTTGTTGATGTTATGAAAGTATATCCATTACGATTATGTTGTGGCTGAATTTTTATTGGGAAATTCTCGCTCCCTCTCGCTCCCTCTCGCTCCCATGGCGTCGTCTCTGAGCTCAGGAGCAAACCCTACCTCGATTAAGTAACCACACGGTTTCCTATAGCACATTTCTTCTTCTTCTTCCTCTTCGTCTTCTTTTTCGTTCTTCTAATGAGCACTCTTTTGCCACTCTCGAGGGTTCAGTTTCGTTGGAGCAAGTCCCAATTTGAGCCATGGGAGAGGGGAAGAGAGTGAGCAGCTTCTTCTCGGTGAATCTTCTCAGCGATCCGCCATTGATCCTGTTCTTCTGCGGCGAATGTATGTTGGACACTTCCTATCGAGATGGGGAGCTAGGTAATCGCTTTCGCCCTTTTTCTCTCTCTATTCCTTTATTGTTTTAAGGAAAATTTACACACGTAGCACAAAATTCTTATTTATTTTAATTGAAGTGCCCTGCTTTTATGAAAAAGATTGGAAGTGCGTCGCCTTGTCTGACCGAGAGGTCGCATCTTCACAAAAGTTAATCAAGTAAAATATGGGTTTAATAAATTATTGAACTTTAGGTTTTAGTAAATTTTGGAGGAGTTAAATTCAGGAAACTGTTTGGTAGGATAGATGGTTATCATGCCATCATAAACCCCTCTTGATCAAGCTTGCATTTTGATGCATATCAGTTTTGATAAATTTCGGAGTAAAATTCTAAATTCAAACTAGATGTTTCAATAAAACGAACCCTGCAACATAAAGGGTGATCTGATCCAAGCCCAAATGAACCCAAATAAAGCATTTAAAGCATTGTTGGAAAAGTTTGTAGATTAGTTGAAGGATTATACAATCTTCAAATTTTATATACTTATAGTAAAATGGAGCGTATCAACAAGAGGAATCTAATGAGCTCAGGATCACCAAATTTTGAGGTCATGAAGTTACTTAAATGTTAAAAAATTGATCTATGATTAAAGAAATGAACATGCGTCCTACGATGTTTTATTTTAAGATTTTGATTAGATTTATCAAAACTTCATTTTAAAAAAAATTATAAATAGACTCTCATTCTTTAGATGAATGGGACTTATAATTGAAACTAATAAAAGAGCTTGGAGATCTGAAAAATTCTAGAGCTTTGCCCTATGACCAACTTCTACCACCACCAACAAGCATTGTCGCTTAACTATTGTTATCTAAATGCCATTAACAAACGGATATCACCTCATCTACTTTCATCATCGTTTCATGATAATGAATTATTGTTGAGTGTATTACGTTACAATCCTATTTTTATCAATTACAATGAAGAGCATTCTTTTATAATCTCAATCAATATCGTGGACAATTTCTCCTAGATATGATTCAGTTGTTTTTTCACTTTGCGGTTTTTCATGTGAGAATTTTGATTTCTCATACATTTTTCTTCTTTATATGTTTAAGTGTGAGATCTTTTGGTAAAGCTTTGATGTTAAGCTCTCATTGTACCGCCATGATATTCTAGCACAAAACAATGTTAAAATAGTTATGTCCTCCTAATTTTTTGACAACTATTTTCAAAATTCAGAATTTGAACGAATGAAAAGAAATACTGAGTATGGGTGTCGATCTCTTAAACCATACTTCCCTAATCCATGATTTAAACTAAACATGACGAAAATGAGATTTAAGAAGGTTTGTGATTTATGTGAATGAATAAATGTTTGCATGCTGAGTTTTGTAATTTGTATTTACAACAATAGATTAGTCATTTAACATGTCAACCTCCAAGTCTTTTGAGAGATTGCATGATTGCTTTTTTTTAATTTAATATTTAGCTTGAGCTACCATTAACTTCTTTGTTATTTTATAGTATGATCAATCCATTTGAATTTGTCCACTAACTTTTTTTTTCGTCTTTTTTTGTAGAATGTGGGAGTTCTCTGTTGGCTTATATATGATAAATATTTTGCCAGACTCTTTACTTTTCACTGCTATTTATGGTGTTGTGGAGGCTGCCTCCACAGCTTTATTTGGCCCAGCTGTTGGAACATTGGTAGAAAAAATTCCTCATAAGCAGGTGAGTGCAAGCTCTAAGCATCTCATTAATGGGGCATTTACATGCATACTTCCCAATTCCTATGTATTTACATTTCTAACACCTAAATTTTACTTTTTACATTTATATCACATAAAAAATACCACCATTTTAACTTTTAAAAAGGTGAAATACAGTTTTTCATGCACAGTTAAGGCGGATGTATGTAAAAATTGAAGTTTATGTGTTAGATATTTAAATTCACGATAATTAAGTGGCATTTATGTTTGTAAATTTTTCCCCATTAAGCTTGCTTTTGTATTTTTTTCGAGAAATTCTTATTAAATGTAAACTTGAGTTGATCTGTTGATTTGCAGGTCCTGCGGATGTGGTTGTTAATTCGAAGTTTATCGTTTTTGGTTGCCGGAGGAGCTGTTGCGGCTCTCCTTGTGTACTTTGGCCCTTCATCTCATAAATCCGTGTCATTTATGGGTTTAGTTGTCATAACCAACATATCTGGAGCCATTAGTGTGCTTTCAACTCTTGCCGGTACAATACTTATTGAAAGAGAATGGTAATATTGAAAGAGAAACATAAGTGACATATCTGGAGCCATTAGTGTGCTTTCAACTCTTGCTGGTACAATACTTATTGAAAGAGAATGGTAATAATAAGTGGTTTTTGATAAGTCACTCGTTGCTTGTTGGTCTTATTTTTTTGAAACATTTACAAACATACCACTCAATTTTTATGTATTTGAATATCTAACACCTAAGCTTTTTTTTTTTACATTTATTACACCAAATCTTTTATATTACATAAAAACTTCCTATATTTTAACTTTTAAAAGTGAAATACGCCTTTTCATGCACAGAGAAGTTGGCATATATGTAAAAATTAAAATTTCCGCGATAGATATGTAAATACATAAGATTTGAAGGGTTTGTATGTAAATCTTCCTTTCTAGTTTTGTTTCTACATGATGCATTTTCCATTAGCTCACAATTTTTTTTTTTATATTAGTATTGCAATATGCTAGTGATATATATATATATATATATATATATGTATGTATGTATATATATGTGTATGTATGTATATATGTATGTATGTATGTATGTATGTATATTTTATTGGTCTTTGACATTAACTTGAAGCTTATTTTTATATAAGCACTGTGTGATGTTTTTTTACTATTGTAATGTATTTACTGTCATATTCTCATTATCTCTTTATAGCTTTAGTCTCGTTGGATTGCTTGAAATTAGAAAACGTTTTAAGAATCGGTAGAGTTTTTAGATTGTCATTTAGCTAGAAGGCAACATTGATTTTCAATGCTACAAACACCTTTAAATTCTCTCGAAAGTGAGGATTTCATTATTGCACTATAAATAAGTGAAAACCGAATCACTTGGATATGATGTTAAATATTTGAGTGTTATGATGGTAAATATTAAAGTTTAGGTTTTAGCTATGTAAGTACATAAAAATTTTGTGGCATGTATGTGAATGCCCCCTTTTTATTTCCATTCGAGCTACTTGAATGCTTGGTGTCATTGTACCAAGCGTTTGTTTGATACACGTGGAATTCTGTGTTTCATATTTAGATTTTTTCTCATTTATTTTTCTATTATTATGTTTTTAGCTTTTTTCCTTATATGTTAGTTGCATCTTTGGTAAGTTGTAATAGTTGACATTATGTTTGATGTGGAGTTTACTCTATATAATGAGAGAAGTTGTAATTTGAAGTTTAAGGAATAAGAGAAATTTTCCTCTTATATTTTCCTTCATGGTATCAGAGCTTAAACCCTAATTTCCATCGTCCAGCCTCCGGATCAAATGCTTGTGCCGCTGGGTTTATTGCATCTTTTGTTGGGTTTCAAAAGCCACTACTGCTGCCTTCCCGGGATTCGAAAGCCTTTGTTGCTGCCCTTACCTGATTGTCTCAGGTTGGCAATCCCATCGTTTGAACGCATATCCTGCTGCCTTCCCTTGGTTCGAATGCCTCTGTCATTTTCGTCATTCAGTTATCGGATTGTGGAATAGCCGACTAGCCGAGTGTGAAGCCTTGCAGCCACACATCTACAACCTATCTACCAGCCTTTGGTGATGTCTTTGCGGCAAACCTTACTTGTTGGCCCTCCACAATTGTCTTTTCTACATCGATTTCCTGCAGGCCTTCCGTCGGAGTCCTTGCAACCATCCCTTCGACAAACAAAAACTAATTAGTTTTTCTTAGCCCAAAGCGTGCAGAGGTTCCATGACAAAGAACGGACCTTGCAGAATCAAGATGTTTAGCTCTACCTCGGTGGATAGTTTTTACTATGAGGCCAGGAATTCCGTCCAGCCAGCCCCGAAACTCTTTACCTTTATCACAAATCATTAACTCAAAGGTCAAAACTTCCTTCAATGGTCCCAATCCATATTTATGTATATTTGTGGAAGAGCGGAACGTCTAACGGGATATGGTACAATTTCTAAGCTCACTAATTCTAGCCATCGCTCATGGAAGATGTAGGATCATATGATCATGTCTTGGTTGATCAATTCTATGACCACAAAAGTTGAAGAAAATTTATTAATTTACAAGACAACACGGGAGATTTGGGAAATAGCTCATGAGACTTATTAGAATATAGAAAACATTACAACATTATTTGTAATTGAAACAAAACCTCATGGGCTCTGACAAGAAGATTTAAGTGTTACTCTAACACACTATCCAAATATTGATTACAA